CACGTTTCTTCTGAGCTCTGACAACCTCTTGCATCCCAAGGGTCTACAGAAGAGGTAAACAGCTTCTGCACAGCAGGCATTTCAGATGGACTAGGAGGCATTTACAAAGCTCCTGGCTCTTGTAGGGTGCAGCAGACTGTGTTTAAAATCAATGTCTCTGTGTCAGACACTTAGGATCATTTAGGGCAGAGATGCTGACACAGACTCTCTGTCTCCATGCATCTCCCCCAGGTTAGCAGGGGCTGGGACAAGAATCAAGTGTGCTCCACAGGTGGGGAAAGGGATGAAGGGAAACCTGGGGCTCCCCAGAAAGAGGGAAGGCATGGAGGTAGGGGCATGGTGGCTAATGCCATCTCCCTTTTCTACTCCATGGCCACAGCACAGCCCCTCTGCAGAGCTACCACCCTGGGTACTGGCAGGAGTGTGGCACCCTGGTTTCAGTGCTGTGCTGAAAAATGCATGTTGAAAAACTGGACCGGGAATGAACTGAGCTTTTGACAAGATGCTCATGTTCAGCACTCAGAGGAGCGTGGCCTGCTTCACCTGTTAAAGAGGATATTTGAAGGATGCTCATCTCTTCAGGACAAGCTGGTAACTAATGTAATGTGGTCTGTGGTCTGCAGACAAATATGTAACAAAGCCCTATAGCAATGCTGGTTTTGGAACAATTAATTAGAAACTGTGCAGTTAGCCAAAGAAGACAGGAATTTTTTAACCGGGAAGGTAATTAGCATCAGGGACAGAGGATAAGAGCTAGGACTGTTTCTGTCAGACCTGGAAGTCCTATCTGCTCTAATACTGCAGATGTGTCTTGATTGCTGTAAGACGCCACAGAAGAGCATCAAAAGGGTCCTTTATGCCTTTAAAAGACAGACATCTTTTCACTCCACACCTCCTACTTGTAACAGATTGACTAGTTTTGTTCTAGTGACACCACCTCTTTGATAATCCCGCTGTCAAATTATTCTCCTCCTCTCTTCACAATGCCTTGGGCACTGGCCCTTCCCCAGGGGCTGGGCTGGAGCAGGGTGACTGCCCCTGACCCTCTAAGTCCCACCATAGCCCCCCCTCACTGGCCATCTTTGCTACTTACCTTTGGCCTCAGAGCAGCTGTGGTCTCTCCTCTTGTGCCCCATGGAAGCTGCTCTCCCTGCACCTGAGGCTGATGTTGTTTGCAAACCTTCCTGGGGCAGACTGCCCGACTCCACGCTCTGCATGGGTCAGGAAAACCAGGGGCTTTTCTCAGCTCTCAGCAGGGTCAGCAATACCATGTCAAGCTCCCCGAAAGAGGGGGTACAAAATATGGGTCATTTTCTTCTTTTGTATTGATACTTCTCCCCATAGAACATGAAGCAGGAATTTGAGCTAAATGGAGTGTGGATTTTCATTTTTGCACAATAAATTTCAAATAGGGCTTAATTATCCCAGGCAAATAGCACTAATATGCAAAAGTAGCCTACTAAACATTTGAAGGACTTTATCCCAAAGGTAATGTTGTACTTCATTACTGGGCAATGATATTTTTTGCATCTCTGTTCAGAAAACATGCCTCAAATCACAGCTGGCAATCACTAAACAAATTTAACAGATCTTTGCCCATAATCAGGAAACCAGCCCAGAAATGCAGAATTAGGAATTGATAATTCCTATTTAAACTTACACTACAGTTTCCTGTCTTCTGTTTATGCAAACATGTTAATTAATTCTTGCCCATGTGGGGTTGAGATGGAAGATTTACAGTTGTAGGATAATATGTCCAGATGTAATATTGCAGGCCAGGATTCAATCAGTCTAATGCTCATAAGCAAAGCAGTAATACACTCAAAAAGAAAAATAAACCAATTTAATTCTTCTAGATGAGCTATTAGTTTTTATGTCATTATGTTAGCATTAGTGCAAACTGGCTGACACGCACAGTACAGACAAGTGAATCATACAGTCCTTTTGTGACAGACATTGGAAATGGTTTTAGAAATAAAGTGTTGGCTGCAGCTAAAGCTAATGGGTGGTGATGGGGCTTTCCTGTCCCCTCACCTAGTCGCCATGATTAGGGCAGATGATGAAGTCCTTTTCTACTCTCTGATTCTCACCTTGCTGCCTACTGAGATGGGCCAGCTAGGCACTAGTGAGAGCTTAAGGAGAGTCAGACTGAGAATACTGTGAGCCATGCTCCTGAACGGAGAAGAGAAATTCAGAAGGTTAAGGGGGTAAACCAGTCTCAAAAAAAATCAGGCACAGAGAAAAGAAGTGGCAGTTCTATGTGCTACTCCAGAGACTTGCACATATGCACTAAACACACTATGAAACCCCTGGGATCAGCACCAAATAAATCTGGGGAGTTTTGAGCCTCCCAGAAGAGTGGGTTTCTCACTTTTTAAGATAGAGTTCATTTCTGTCTGTCCAGACAGGCTAGGAACTAAAATGAAAGGCTGACCCAAGGCCAGGCAGTGCCTTGAGCCACATTTGGCCTTGGAAAGTTTCAGCAGTGACACTGACCTACGCTTCTGCTCATGGGTCTGAACACTAAGTAAACTTAAGATAGAAAAAGCTTGTTAGGATAACAAGCACAACTTGCCTCAGGGGCCACAGGAGCCATCTACACTGGGGAAATGCCAAACCATTATCCTGATTCATAGAATATATGGTGCGACTGAAGTAAGAGAGCTGCAGATAAATGTAGATAAAGGATGAAAAACTTACTTCCATTAAACTTCATTTCAGATGACTTTTGGCAATGTCCTTGCTCTTCCTTCCTCTAACTCCTAGTGACAGGCAATGAAGCCCAGCAAAAACTGTGCGGTCACGTAGCAGTTTTCCAGGATGATTTCTCCCTGACATTGGCTGTCAGCCCGTGCACCTGCTCCCAGCCACACTGTCCCTCCTCATTACCTAAATCTGTCATTTGGCCCCAGCTGCCACGAGTTGAGATTGTCTTGTTATCAGCTATGGCAATGGCCCTGGCAAACCTGCACCATCACCAGAAAACTGCATCACAGTCCTCATGCTCAGTGGCAACATGATAACCTTTGAAGGTAATTGTGAGGAGAACTCAGTGATAAAAAGTAAGTAGAATGGTAACTTAGGAAGCAATGAGACTGACATGATAAGCATTAAAATTACATACACCAACTACCTAATCTGCATTAAGCAAGACACAATTTTGCAGAGGCGGTCTCTAGAATCTTAAAAATATGGTTTCTGTTTGAAACAAGCAATAAGAAATTTTTTTGGCTATCTAGAAGCATTTTGATATATGCTGCAACACTGAGAGTAGTGCAGAGAAGAGAAACTCTATTTTCCTGAACTTGTGTATGCCTGGAATAACAATACTTCCCATTATAGTAATTTTATTTTGTTTCAGTAGAAAGAAGAATCTAGAAGAATGAATAATGGAATAACATTAGGGCAGTGGTATTTTTAGCAACTTATGGTTCATCTCACTACATTTATGGCAACTGTTTACAAAGCAAATTGTAACATGGAAATTCAAGATTTGGCATTAGCAAACAGGTTCTGTGCAAGTTCCTACCTACCTAGAGGACAGCACTGTCCAAGTAACAACACATAAAAGACCTTCTTTTTTCCCCTTCCTTCCCGTTTTCAAGGGCCCCTTCCATGCAAGTTACCTGCTAACTGCAAAGCACCTAACTTGAAACAGCTTTGTGGGAAATCTCCATGTGATCCTGGGCAGGACAATCTCTCACTGACCAAAGCAGAGAGCAGGCACCTCAGTGTAGAATCTCTTCCACACACCACACCAACATTGACTTCCCATCCCTCCTAGATACTGTCGTGGATATAGAGCTGCACACTGCTGGGAGCTAGAAGAACATCCTGGGGAATGGCTGCTACACACTTGCCCCTTCCTTACACAAGTTCATATCATGATCTTGGCCATTGACAGAGACAAAACACTGGGCTAGACAAATATTTAATGAAATCCAGAACTGCTGGTCTTATACAACTCCTCTGACATAAGCAACCAGATAGGGAGGTTTTGCAGTGCTGACAGTAAAGCTGCAAACCGCCCCAGCCCCTGGAGTTACCTACTTAGAGAATAACTCCTTTCAACCTCCAGCAAGTCTTCAGCACCCACACAAGGTGCCACTGGTGAACCTTGGGAAGAAACTTTGGGAAGAGAACACATTCATTAAGGGACAACATGGCTGTCACTCAGCTCCAAAATCAAAACTCGAGTAGGCTTTTCCATTTTCTTTCCTCCAACACAATGAATATCCTGCCAGTCCTTTCCCGTGAAATAACAGTAAAACAAGTTTATATTTAATGACTGACAGACAAAAGAGAAGACAGCAAATGTCAGCTGTAGCACAGGAATAAAGCTATTAATGGGATATATGCCTGCAACAATTGAAGACAGGAAAGTGAGGACAGAACCCAGGCAATTCTTGTATGTGTACAAGTAATTTGCTTGCATTTTTAACTCTCTCTTGTGACTTTTTTTTGGCACTACTGCTTTATGAGCCACGCTCTTCATCCGGGTTTACATGCACCTGCTTCACAGTTTGTCTCTAGGTAAGGGATGCTCTTTATACTGAGATTCTTGCATGATAATCTTTCTCCTTCTGATCTGGATTCCAGTTTCAACTCATCTTATATGCTGGCTTCATGTGAAGATGTAAAAGCTATATGAAATGAGGCCCATTATTTTCATCAGTTTTTCAGATTTCTCAAAATATTGGAGCAGTTGGTTCATAAGAACAGGATAAATTACGTCACTTTTTTATTTGCTATAATCAGTCAGCATCTGAAACAAAACCAAACATACTTTGGAGTGCTTTTTTTTTTTTTTTTTTTTTTTTTTTTTTTTTTTAAGGAATAACCAGGAATAAAGGAATAACTAAGCTACAATTAATATCAGGGTTAGGTACAACACTGGCATTAATAGAGCCTCCTTAGGCTGAGGAAGGCTAACTGAAGGATGCACAAACATAGACAGGATTTCTTCAAGGCACACATGCCACTAAAGAAAATACTCCCACTTCATAGTGCAGGCAGGCAAAAGCCAGACATTTTATTTAAGTTTAAAATAACAAATATTCACCTACAATCACAGTATACTTCTTAGTTTATCGCTTCTGCTTTGAATTCTGTGCTTTCATTTCATGTGTCTATATTTAGCATTTGTGTAAAGGCTGCAAAAGTAACTTTGTGTATCATTTAACATCTGTGCATATCCTTTAGAGTTTAACATGACAAAGAAATTAAAAGACATTTTGAATTTTAAGGTACTGAAAAAAATCAATAAAGTTCCACAGAAAAAAATAGTATAAATGTTTCTTATAGTACAGTACTCTTAATTTTATGTCAGTGTCATTTTAATGCCATAGTTTTCAAATATTGACTGTATAAAGAGAAGACTAGAGGGAAAATTATCTAAAATGCCTTTCCTAAGTCTGTTAGACTCTGTTGATTTATGATATATGTACAGTATATAAATATATTTATGTATATATGTACATATATATTGGTTAACATTCATTTTAAATAGAACTGTGTTAACCTAAGCAGTATAAAAATAACCACTTTCCTGGGAACATGCAAACATAATATGCTCTCACCTAATCAATTAAACTCAAAACAACCAAAACCTTTAGCTCTGATTTTCTACAAATATAAATTTCAATTGAAGACTTTCAACTGATTTAACCATAAAGTTTTTCCAGTAAAGATATAAAAAATTGTTTGATGCTAGCTATAATTAAGCTCAAACACAGTATATTTTGCGTTATTTACTTTCAAGTATTTTTCCCATGTGCGCTAAATCTAGACACACTGCATTTGTTTTCTTTACAATAAATTATTATTCAGCTCTAAACACTAAAAGCCGAATTACAGGCAATCTGGCATGCTTGCACTGCAGGTAAAAGCCTCTCCTCTACACTGTTCCTATGTGGGAGGCTGTCTATTATGGCTATTTGTGCTCCAGATCTTGTGTTCATTGCAAAGCGTAATTAAGATTCTCCTACTGTAAGATTCTTAAGGCCAGAAGAGAAAGTACTACAACCACTTAAATCTCACCTCATGCTCACTGAAATTCACTCTGAGGTCCCTGCATTCAACACAGTGACTGGTAGCTGGACTAAAACACCTCTCCTGTTATAGTCAAAGAGGTTCCAGCTTCAGAAGTTGAGCGAGATCTTGACTTTTTAGTGACTTTTCCCAAGGGGAAAAAAATTCGGTTCCATCCGAACCAAATGTGACATTTTTCCTTTTTTCCTGCCATACAAAAAAACTGAAAAAATTTATTTGCCCTGAAACGTTCCCTTCTCCTCCAAAGTGTTCTGAGTACCAGCTAGAAAAGCAAGAGAAGAAATTGGAGCTATGTTCAAAGGTGATGCTGTTTCTGTTCCTGCATGTAACCACCAGCTCAGCAGAGCACACGCCGGGCTGGACTGTGGGAAGAACAGGGCCAACTCCTTCTGCTGAGCAGATTTCAACCATCTATTAGGAGAATGTGGCATATGCTGAGTTGTTTTCATTCCATTCCATACAGCTAAATATCCACTCCTGCCCATTTCAGAAGACTGAAATGCATCTGTCAATCTTCCCTACCATCTCACCTCATCCAGACCTTTCAATTGCTTTTTCTATCTCTCAGAAAAGTATTTCATACAAAAAACAAACAGCACGGAAGACCCAAGGCACACTCTCTTCAGGACATTTTTCTGGTGACTGGAGGACCTTTAAGGAAGTAGGAAATTTAGATGTAAATGACATAGGCAAAGGAGGGACTGCAGTCTTATTTTTTCCTTCCTAAAATAATTGTTTACACCTGCAAGTTACTGGGTAATAAAGGGATGACTTAGATATTCACCCCCTCCACCAGATCTAGAGATATTGCTCTGCAAATGTTAGATTAAAACTGTGACTATCAAAAGTGAACATCTCAAAATCTGCTGTCAACCAGTTGCAAGATGGGGCATGTAACTCAATGAGCTGGATGTCAGTGAAGGCCTAGTCTCCCCAAGATGTTTAATGAAGTTGCTTGTGCAAGCCTTTCTCTCTGGCATCTCTGAATGTGGTACACCTAAATCCTTATCCCTCAACCAAAATGGCCTTATGTTCCCAGCCACATCTCACATTTATTTCCTCTTCCCAGGGTGGCTCCCACATTTTTCCCAGAAGTCTTTTCTATGACAGAAGTGATAAATCCTTGTTAAAGTAGCACAGTCTTCCAGCTTTTATAATTTGAGAAAAAAATATGAGGCTTTCTATTTCTTATGGTAAGTAGCATAAATGCACCAAAACACTGGTATGGATACCCGTGTATTAATTGTTTAGAGAGCTGTCATTGGAAGTTGGAGACTGGGAATTCACAAAAGGCTCGTTTGACTTCTGATCGTCCTTCATGGAGGCTGCTTGGTCTGAGATGGAAGAGAAGGAGAGCTGGTCATGTTCCATTATATGCACTTGGTCCTCTTCCTTGTCCTTCTTCACATAAAACAACTTCCTAAACTTTTTGAGTTCATGGAGTTCACAGAAAGTTTCAAGAACCACCAACATTGCGATAAGGCCCATCAACAGATAACCTGAGTGGGAATAAAAAAGTTTAAAAAAATTAGTTATTAGCAAACTAGGTAGGGCTGGACCAATTTTGAGCTTCTGACTTTTCTTACCCCTGTCCTCTCTGACTAGTATGTCAATTTTCTCTATGACTTAACTACACAGCTTTGAACTGTGATATCCTTGGTTTTTTTCATTTATTAAGGAAATTTCCTTTATTATCTACAACCACATAAACAGAAAAAGTAATAGTAGTGGCTTCAAATCTGGTACAACTGTGCAAGAAAAAAAAAAAACAAACATGTAAAGGTATTAAAAAACCATAACAATAAAAATTTACCATATGCACACTCCTGTACTTACTTATGATTAAGTGCCCTTCAAAAGAGTTTGAATAAAAGATGGAAAATAAAAACTTTTACCATAATATTCCTATATATTGCAAGCAGAAGTAAAAATATGGGAGCTAATTATGGTCATTGATAATTTGTATCAGTTTAGCAGGACAAATCACTTACTACTTCATGAAAACTTTGGAATTATTTTCCTCTAAAATTATTAGACATACAACACCCTGAAATACCTGGAAAAACAAAGCTACTAAAGACATGTACAAACGAAATAAAACCAAAATGAAAAATTACTGTAAAATTACTCCTGGAATTTGAAAAACCCGACATAGTTACTCCATCTTTTGGGCACCTTTGCAATGTTTGTCTAAGGTACACAAATTATGCAAAACCTGGAAGTGTTACCTAAAATATATTACAAATTACTTTAGCCATATACTGACTGACTTATTTTTAGAGGTAATAGCCACCTCTCATAGACTGGGACTTTTGGAAATGGAGATCTCTATGACCAGCAGTACACTGTGCTCTTTTTTTTTTTATATTCTCCAAACATAAATGTGTATAGTTTAAAGGAAGGTATTAAAATTAATACTTATTAATCTCAGTGTTTCATTAGATCCCTACCTCTGTTCATTACAATTCAATAAGGAGCATGACTACTTATTTATTTTATAATTTCAATGAAGTAAATGAAGCAGAATCCAAGTGTATAACCATTAGCAGACTGCACTTCTCCAAGAGCTGCACATTAAGTGTGCTGAAAAATCAACACAGATTAATGATTATAATTTCCATATGGTCACTGTCCTGTTACCTAAGGGCATAAATATCTCACCTGTAGTTACAGATTATTCACTGGCAGGAACACTCTGCTTTTTGTTCCAGGAGTACCATTAAACAATTTTTTAATACTGAATTCTCATCTAAATCAGCACTATAGCTAAAATTTATTAATTGTTTTTAAACTTTATATCATAGCATCAAATGAGAGCTATGCATTAACACAAGGAAGAACCAACAAAGCTATATCAGTTGAAAAGCATATATAAATCTGCATTGAGAATTTGTAATTATCTCTGAAATTCAGTCCATTTGATTGCCACTTGATTTAGAACAGGACTTGTGTTCTAAAAATTCTTGAAAAGCCTGTAGTATTCATTAAGCATTTTCTGATGTAGAAGAACAAAATATCTTACAGAAAATTTAGCTTCAGGAGAAAACATTTTATTTGGTTCCTTGAATTGTTTGCATGAAAGGAAAAAGAGTAATTTAAAAGTTATAACCTTAAAACCTATTGAAATTAGATATTCTAAGGTCATAACTTTGCCTAAAAGCTACTTTTTCCTTTTAGTATTTCCTGCAGTTTACTTCCTAATTGTTGTACAGCTTGAAAAAGCTTTAATCTGAGCCCTAATGTTTTCTTCAGATTTTGAGTTTTTCAGAACAGCAAGTCTTTAACAAGGCCTTTGCCATGTGTGACTTTCCATTCACTTCACCACTTAGCATCCCCAAAATCAACTCTGCAGATCAGCAGGTTAATACTTAAAAGCTACCATTTATAAGATAAACATGACAGGGAGAGGAGAAAATCTGCAACAGCAACAGGCCTAGCAAGATAATAAAACAAAGTGTTCTGTTGGCTAGTTCAAGGCCCCGATTCAAAGAATGGAATAAACCTCTCTTCAGGTACAACACAAAACCAAGTTAACAGACTCTTTGCCTACATTATGATTGCTGGATCATGCACAGAAGCTTAGTCTAATGAAGACCAGCCTCGATGCTTCTGATGACCCAAAGACTGCTTGCGTTCAAGCTGTATGAGAAACTGCCATGTTTCAAAACACTGTTGCTGTCACACTCAGCATATATTTACTCCAAATACCAAAATAAAGGTAATTTTCTCTTTAAAATCACTGATCACTATGATTTCTTCTATGTCAAATAAAACTAAACAATTTAAATTTAGCATTCATGGTCTTGCTTTTCTACCATCTCAGTCTATTTGTCTGTCTTTGACAGCTGGTATGTAGCAATGCCAGCTTCAGCTACCTTCTGTTTCAACTGGAGTCAGAAACTTTGCTATTCCACCTCGTTTTTCACGGCTTCTTGATTCATTTTTATCCACCTGTCATCTAACCTTATGGGATAGCCTTAGATTATACACATCATCTTGGCTCTGCAATGCACTGAAATGTAAGCCCAAGATGCTCTTAACCATTTTCGTAACAGTTACGTGAGGTTTTTTTTCCCCTACTATTAATAAGACAGCAAATAGTTATGGTTAAAATAATGGAATTCTAATTTTAGCTTTTTCTTTCTTAACTAAGAAAACTGACCTTAACAGTTTCCTCTTTACAGAGCTATGAAAATTAATGCCCAGTTTTCTAGCTGACAAGTGATCATTATTCACAGACTGGAGAGAAGAAGTCTGATTGTCAATTTGATGTTGATATTTTTATTTTTAATATAAAATGCCTTTTACTTTGCTGTTTAGTTTGATACTTACATGTAATTCCAATTTTATATAACTCTCGGAATTTTTGATTGTAGCCTTCTCCTGGCACATAGTCTCCAAGGCCAATGGTGCTCAGGGAAATGAAACAAAAATAAAATGACTCCAAAAAATTCCAGTCATCTTCCAGGACAGAAAATATTGCTGCTGGGATTAAGAAGAAGAAGGAGACAGTGATGAACCCGAGGACCATAGCATGGATGATTGCAACGACCTGCTTGGAGAAGCCCCAGCGGATGTGGAAGTACAGCACCGGGCGCCTGGTGACGTACACAATGATGCGCTGCACCACGGCCGTCAGGAACAGCAGCGTGAACGGGATCCCGATGACTGAGTAGATGATGCAGAAGGCCTTTCCCCCATCAGATAAAGGCACTGTGTGTCCATAACCTGCAACAAAGCACAGCAGGCATGGGTTCAGCGAAAGTTAGGAGCTCAGCTGCCACTCTGATATTGGATATATTGAGTGAGATGCACTAAAAGATGCACTATCAGTAATTCTGAATTCTGCTACTCTTGACGAATGCTGTTCAAAGGTCTGTTTTAAGCATGCAAACAAAACTCAGTACTAGCCACGAACAAGTAAACCCAAATATTTTTTTTATTTCAAAATTGTGATAATCATTGTATAAATGCTTATTTCAGAGAAGGAAGAAAGGCCTAGTCAGGAGTGGAAGCTTATGCCAGGAAATTTGTATTTGATTCTGGGTTTTCCTGTTGAACTTTAAATTTAGTTTTACAAAGTGATGTAACTTTTCTACCCACCTTGTAAAGTGGAATAATACACACTTCAGAAAAATGTTCCTACATCTACAGTAGTAACACACTCTTAACACCTTTTGTGAAAATCAATTAAATTACATAGAAGTACTATAATCAACATGTAAAGCTACCTAATTCCATGCCTCCACAGATTATAATACATCAAAAGGTATCTAAAAGCAGAACAAACATTTTTTTCACAGCAAAACTTCACAGATCTAGCCACTGTGGCTAGAGTTTTGCTCCACCACTTACACACCAGGAGGATGAACAGTGCTGCCTTCAGAGTACAGGAATGGATCCCCTGGTGTAGGGACTGATGACAGCCAGCAATTCCAATGTCAAAAACCTGTACTTGTACCCAGTGCAAGTGGCTACGCTGCCAAAGCACACTCTGACAGACAGGATTTGGTTCTAAATGTAAGTCATCACCACAGGAAGGAACAGTAAATCCAACATAAACCAGGAATGCTTTCTTCTGTTTGCCAAAAAATTGGGGAAAAAAGGCACTTTGTTATCATTGCAGCCAGGAAAAGGAAATCTCTTGAAATTTACTCTGGGCAGCCTTTACACTGACATCAAACCAGGCAAGTGCAGACAGGCCCTACCAATTCTGCAGCCCCAGATCAGCTAGCTCATTTGGGTTATATTACTGCTGTAGAGCAAGGCATTTTCCAGAGCTACTGCAAGTAGCTATCTTGAGTAGTCCAGGCAGAACACACAGTGAATTCAGGGTCATACTGCTGCTGATTTCTGAACTGCACTCTGCACCACCCCAGCCTGCCCAGTGTACCACTAGACCAGGCAGACATTCAGTGAGGCCTCCTGGGAACTCTCTGCCTGCTCTCCTGTGAAACTGGCTGTTCTGCAAGTCCCCTCAAGTTTTATACGAACAAAAGAGATTTCCTCTCTACTTTGATGGATTTAATAATAGAATCATTACTTTTTAAGTTTTCCAGAGGAGTAAATAAAAAATAACATTTCATTTTCTTAAGATGCATAAAGACACTTCCAGACAATGAGACAGGAAAAACGTCTTATCACTATAATGTTCAAAGTCTTGTAGAAGAAACACATAAGGTGTAATTTCTCTGCATTAGCTAACCCAACAGGAAATTTCAGTTGTATTTGAATTTTAATGATATTATGAATAATTCACCCAAGCTCAGTCTTTTAAGCCCTGGTAAATTGTACTAATTAATGGCTTTTTTTCCTGCTTACCTTCAGTTTGCTTTATCTGCTCTGAGATAAGAGGATCAACACTGCACAGAACAGTTCAATCAGATTCATGAAATTGTAGAGAAGTGTTCTACTCTGTGCCTAATAATGCTGGAGATTTGACTGGCATTTCTGACTACTGCCAAGTCGATGCTTTCTTGGCCCTGTCTATCAGAAGTCTTGGATCTTGCATCCATGAGGGCATATCCCATCACTTAGTGTTTGAAACTACAACTGAGTATGATTTTATCCACACTCATTTTCAAGTGACACTTTACTGCCCAGTTGCCATGGGGCTCTTCCATCATCCTTACTGCCTTAATTAACCTTGTATCTTCAGTAAACTTAGTTGCTTCCCTCTTCCAGGTCATTTAGGAGTAAGTCAAACAGCACAGGCACAATACAGTTCTACAAGGAACACCACCTGTGACAATCCCTAGGGGAATGAAGAAACCAGTCCTTCACGAACTAACCATTTCCTTACTCTGTTTGCTACCTTTACATATCTCAAGCTATGGCAAGTGGGGAAGAAAAGGATTCCTATTTTTTCCCACTATGCAACTGCTTTTATGTAACTTTTCTTGACAATCTTAAGTGTCAAGAAAATTGCCCATAATCTTATTGCCCATAATCTTAGTTATCACTGTATAAAAGTCATTAAAACACCCCTAACCAACACAGCTATACTTTAAAACAGAGGAAATTACAGATCCAAGGCCCTAGACACTCCACTGTCTGCTTTCAGACACTTGTGCTCTATTGCCTCCCATCTCTGCTCCTGCACAGGGAGGTGTGTGTGCCCATTTGCCTTTTTCAGTGGAAACCACCATGATCACAAGCATTACAGCTAAAGTCCTAAGGAACTTGCCCAAGTTATTTTGTCTTCTGTCTTAGCTGTGACTAATTGCTCCTGTTAGATCACTTTGTAGATAAATACATAGAATTGGCCATTATATTCCAGGTAGATATATTTTCTCCCTCCATTTTTATATACACGATCAGACTTTGTTTTCCAGAGTGTCTAGGTAGCTTCCAACAATGTCTGTCCCATTCGTAACAGCCTGTGTCAAACCCAGCACTGCCTTCGAGCATTTCACACTCTTCCATCCTCTCTTAGTTTGGCACATGTTGGCAGTGGGCGTTTTTTCCTTTCATCCTTCTCAGACACTGCTTTGACCAATCTAAGCAGTTGTGTATCATCACTGCTTTGTCTCTTTATAGTTCAGTCTCTCTTGTAGCTTATTAATGAGTTTTTCTCTGCGTTAAGAGGCAGTGGCTGCCTTACAGGTTTTTCAGGACCCCAAACGGAGCACTTAGTGCCAGAGTAAAGAGATGCCATGGTTCTGTTCAGCCTAGACTGTCACACAAATCCCCAGATGATGCCCCAAAGGGTGAATGTTTGAAGGTGGAGGTGGATCTGACATCAAGTGAGGCAAGTAAGAGGCAAACAGAACTGCTATGGCTCTCAGAAAGCTTCCCCCAGCCAGCTTCGCCCAGGCTATGGGCATGAAGCCTGGCAGGTGTGTACCAGGCTGCAGCACTGCCTCTCTCTTCCACTGCCTCTCTCTTCCACTGCCTATCCATAGTAGAGGTACTGTTCCTTCTACAACAGGTTTTGTCAAGCCACAGCTCCCTCTGGCCCCAGGTGACCTGCTGCAACACCACCAGCCCTGTGCAGCATCCTGAGATTCTCAGGGCGTGGAGAGGGTTGTGTTCAGCACACCCAGTGTCCTGCCCAACACACCCATTCAGATGGCAGAATCACACCACGCAGTATAACACAGCAAGCGTGCTCATCCCTCTGCTGGTCTGAGTCAGTGTCCTTGAAGAGAAGTCAGATCTTTAAGTCAGCTCATAATCTCTAAATGCCCCAATAAATTAAGTGCATCATGTACTATGTATTTTTAAGTTATGCAAAAGTCTTCAATTCATCCCAAGCATAACATGACTCACTGGGTTATGATGAAGATGGTCAATGATAATATTTACATAATTTCTAGACTTTAATTTTATAAGCCTTTGGCATTTTCCACTGTGTTTAACAGTGAAATACATCTTTTTTCCTAACTGGTCAATTATCTTCCAAGATGAAAAGGAAATGTCATGTGATGGTACATCTGTGTGGTAAGAGAAATCACCTTGGTTGCTGCTGTGCTCTTCCTTGCAATAGAAAAGAATAGTCTGAGACCTAGTTTTATGAAGAAATATGTATTTCATTGTTAAACTTACTGTGCTACCAAACTGGAAACACTTTGGAAATTTTTCCTAACACCATCTTGCTAAACAAATCAGAGAACTTGGATTTATAGCCAGGCTGAAATACGCCAGCTTATATTGCAGAAATGAGGAGGAAAAATTCCACTGTGACAGGCATTTTTAAGCAGAGGAAATCCACTTGGAAATTACATTTTGCTATCTCCTCAGTTGAGTTAATGAAACTGATTTTGTGTGCATTAGAAGAGGGAAGAGGAAGAAGTGCTATAAACTAAAATTGATTAAATAATCGAGCTCTCTTCAATAATAATATACCCCTCAAACTTCACTAGAAATAAAAGTAGTAAAACAATATTTAAATTAATATAACCATGAAGATTCGATCTTCACAGCAGTATCTCCCCTAATCACTTTTTAGAATAGAATTGTTTTGCCAATTTCTAGAGTGAAAGGGCTTCTTCCAAAAGTACCAACAAACCAACCAAAACTCCAAAGAAGATTCCAACACATTGATACATGCATCTCATATGTGGTTTTGATTCCTCCTGAGGCTGTTCTCTGCTGCCACTAGTTATCAAAGCCCGAGACTGCTAATTCCTCAATGTTCTGTAGCTAGGTTTGGACTGTGGAAAGGACCATGCTCATATAATCAGCTCACAAATGTCACCTACTGCACCAAGAAAAGCTGAAATGGCTTTTAACACAGTCACTTTATTAATAAATACTAAATACTAAATAAATACTCATATGAGCAATTTGGCTGACTGTCAGAAATATCTGAACCAAAGAAACAAGACATGGACATACTCACTTCCATGGTCAAAGTCAGTTTCAAAACCAATTTCTACAAGAACAGCTGTATGTCAGAACATTTTTGTCTTGCAAAGCATTCAAAATCTGCCTTGTCTGTTCCTGCACAAGAAGCTATATTTCACCTGCCCAAAGAAACTGCATCCACAGATGCTGGGAAGGGGAATGCTAATGAATCAAACTGGGGAAGATGTTTGTATGAAGACAAGGGATACTTTCACACCTTATTCATATTTATATGAAGAAGAACAGCTTGCTTTACAGTCTTATGTTTGGTATTGTTTGAATTGCCTGTGGAGTTGCACCAGTGCTAGCAAACAACTGATGTTCACTTCCTGTTCTTATATATTCTGTGTCAGCTTAAATAAGTGGTGTGAAAATGGGTT